AGTGAGTAATCGGATAAAGATTCGGCACAAGACAACTGTAGAGAGCATGCTCTCCTGGCCCCCATGCTTAAAGTCATTTGCAGTACTGAGCAAAACGGTGAGGTCGTTATAGTTCTTCCGTGACTCTAGAATCCCTTCTTCCATTGATAGAATTTTCGCGCTGGCATCTTCGGATTCATTGCTGGACGTTGACGATGCTCTCTTTCGTCGCTCAGTGGTGGACTTCTCATGAGTTGAAGAAGACCTCTTGCGCTTGAGGCCTTCTGCAGAGGCCGCTTTTGGCATCGTGGGTTTGCTAGAGAAGTGTGACGAATCCGTTTGATATAGCTTGCGCAGTAAAATGAACTTCTACTTTTTACTTTTTTTTTAATAATAAAGTCAAAGTCCTTACTTTGAGAAAAACTTACTTCATTCAAGTTCATAAAAGCAAAATCTCGAAATCTTTCTTTGATCGTTGAAAATTTGACCAATCATATCCACTTATGAGCCAACGGGAAAATGCCGGCTCCAGATCTAAATCTGATAGTTGAGGTCACGTGCTCTTGATTGTTGCCGAACTAGCGCGATAAAACCTCAACCTCACTTCCAGCTCTCCGATCAACGACAAGCCCCGGATACCCCCATCACGAACCATCCCACAATGGCGTCACGCTTGGTACGAAGCGCCGTCGGTATGTGAAGAAATCTCGAATTCCTCGAACCGAACCCAATTCGATCCCAATTGGCGCACCGCCGACCCATGCTGACTCCTTATATGTAGGCGCTCCCCTCCTCCGACCCGTCCTCGCCCGCCGAGCTGCCCCTGCCATCTCTGTTGCCGCAGCGCGATACAACAGCAATGTTCCCGCCGAGGACCCCAAGAAGAAGGCCCAGAGCATCATTGACGCTCTTCCCGGTAACAGCCTGCTCAGCAAGAGCGCCATCCTGAGCTCCGCCGCCGGTCTTTCCATCTACGCCATCTCCAGCGAGTACTACGTCATGAACGAGGAGACCATCATCGCCATCTCCCTTCTCTCAGTCTGGGGTGCCTTGATCAAGTACGGTGGCCCGGCTTACAGGGAGTGGGCTGAGACGCAGAACAACAAGATCAAGAACATCCTCAACAGCGCCCGTGCCGACCACACCGAGGCCGTCAAGGGCCGCATTGAGGACGTCAAGCAGATGGGCAGCGTTGTTGAGATCACCAAGAACCTTTTCGAGGTTTCCAAGGTAATTCCGAAGTGTCCATTGGATGGTAGCTGGAAATGTGGCTGATTATGGTTGTGTTTGTAGGAGACCGCCAAGCTTGAGGCTGAGGCTTTCGAATTGGAGCAGAAGACTGCTCTTGCTGCTGAGGCCAAGACCGTCCTTGACTCTTGGGTCCGATACGAAGGCCAGGTCAAGCAGCGACAGCAGAAGGAGCTCGCTCAGTCCGTTATCGCAAAGGTCCAGAAGGAGCTTGAGAACCCTAAGGTTCTTCAGCAGATCCTCCAGCAGAGTGTTGCGGATATTGAGAGTACGTACAGCCAATTACTGCCAATCAATAGCATTACTAACCTTTTGCCCCAGAGATCGTTGCCTCCAAGGCCCAATAGATAATTAAACGCCGCCGCTAGAGTCTCGGTCCCTAGATTCCACGGTTTTTCTTTGTACCCCTTCTGTGTCATAACAACACCTGTGCATTAGCCGAATCAATCAAGACCCTAGTTACTTCACTGTCGGAAAGCTGTTACCCGTGAGATCTTGGGAAGAGTTGGGTCGATTGTGTTCAATTGGGTTTGTCGGAGCTTGTAAATTGCTCGTCGGGAAAGGTCGGAATATCCGATATCGCCTATTCTCGGCGTATAGCAAATGTCCAAAACAAAACATTTCAGCACAACGACTTCGTCATTCCCACCTAGTGAATCATTTCGTCAAATGCCCACCGTACACTGTGCAGTCTTTCGCAAATTGTTCCATTTGGCCACAATGCTTCACTATTACTCGAGGCGCTTTGATGAATATGAATATACGTTGTTCTGAAACTATCGTGCATCTACACATGATTAATGATACATGGAAAAGACCAGCAACCTCCAACGCCAATTCCGATTCCAAAGGCAGATGCTCTATGCTTCCTGATATCTTTGTCAAGAGAACCACCCCCTTTCGTCAAACATTTAGGAAATGGTAATTAAGAAATGCGTAAAGCAGGATACTTGACGAGAAATATTGAACCTGAATATTAGTAGATTGGTCTCGATTCCTCCCACTTTTTCACATCAGGGGTTGCCTTTGTTGGCTCTGGCGACTCTAACTGAGAGTTAGGACCGAGTGATACCCGGCCGCTCCGTCGCCTCCTTGCTCCGTTGCCAGCAACAGGGCCAATCCACTCCCAAGCGCGACCTACTTCGCCGCTTCTTCCTTCGCGCTGACTGGTTCGAACATTGCTGTTTTGTTCTACAACAGCTCGAACCCGCTGCCAGATGCGTTCTCGCTCAGACAACGAGTGAATAGCCCGGAGGACGTCATCTCTCAAGTTTGGTAAAAACAACCAAGGATCATCGATGCCTTCTTCACCTAGTTCCTTCTGATTGGCAAGTCTACCCAGTACTAGGTCGACGAGAGCAGGAATTTGAGCACTTGTAGCTACGTGCTTCCGATATCGGGCTCGCAAGTAGAAAATAACGAGAATTAGAGCGATCAAAAATCCAGCTGGGAATTTATATCTTGCCAGGCCGAGTCGGATTGATCGTCTGATCGCGCAGGTGTACGGAAGGCGAGCGAGAGACGAGGACGATAGCCATCTGTCTGAAAGATCGGAGGAATTGGACGATCTGTAGGGTCAATGGTGGATCTGGTTAGTCAATAGTCAGAAACAATTGGAGCAATGAAATTGTCGCCAGATAGGTCATGAAAGTCCTAAGCTGTGAAGAGAGAAAGAACTTACGGTGCTGTCTCAATGATCTCGACCTCATCTCTAGCTGCGACCTCGCCAATGGCGGCAGCCCACAGTTCATCAAACTCGTCCTCGTTGAGTCTCTTGGACCTCTTGCGGCTCACGGTCGCCTTAAGCTCGTGTTCAGCCATCGCAGGAGATTCCTCTTTCTTGCCATCCTCATCAACAAGCTCTCCGCACTCATACTGAGCTCGGCGATCTCTGAGTTCTTCAATAGCTCTATCAGCTACAGCTTTAACACGGCGCGCTTTCTCGCCATCCGGCTCACAAGTAGGTGGAAGTGGCACTAGCCCACCAAGAGACAATGGGTGCGGCTTGAGAATGAATCCATTCTCGCAACGAACCGAAAAGTCATGGTAACAATACGCATGCGAAGGGCAAGGCTCGCACTGAGGCTCAATGAAAGGAACAAGAGCGTCTGGGATAGGAATGTCTTGTGAAAAAAGTGGCTTTGCTTGACCACCGACTTCGCAATAGCCAACCGCGATTTTCTCTTGACGATACCACGCAAGGTAGGCTCCAACAAGAGACATCAAGAGGACAAAGAGAGGTGCCCTAAAACCACCTCTTCGAGATACCTGTTGAGAAGGCTTGCGAGGCTCGATCTCCATTTCACCCCGACTTGCAGCTTGCTCCAATTCTAATTGCTCGTTCGGGGTGAACTCCTCACCAGGTTCCAGTAAGTCCGGAGTTGGCTCGCGGTATCTGGGAGTAGGCTCAACATCATCTTCATAATCGTCATTATAGCCATCTGTCCTGCGCCGGGACGATGACTTTACACTTCTGATGGAGTCGCCGGCAGTTGTACGGCGGCGATTGGTAGGTGTTTTATGTTGAGCAGGCGAACTGCCACTCTGAAAAGGGTTGTCGTGAGTGAACACGCTTTCTTCGTGGTCGGGCAGGATTGTCTCTTCTTCTTGTGGTTCATCTTTGATCTGTGGCGTAACTGTTCTCCTCGGTTGGCGAACGGAACGAGGGGCATCGTAGTTCTCGTGGTCGTCAGCGTGAGAAAGCGCACGGCTTACTGACCGTGTGCTGCGTTTGGTAGGACTCCTGGGCACAGGAGTCGCCAGGACATCATCCTCAGCCTTAACACGTGCCGACGACTTTCGAGGAGACTTCGAACGCCTCTTGGTAGTCGACGGAGGTGGGAGATCGTAGTCATCCCAGGTGCCGTTATCTTCCGGACTGCCGGCATTCACGATTCCCATGCTTGATCTCTTAGCTCGGGCGCGCTGAGCCCGCAGCTTTGGCGCTTGAGCCAGTACATGATCTTCAACCAGCTCGACAAGCTGGGCCTTTTTGGCAGTCGCGGGGTACTCAACATTATGCGTAACAAGAATCGATCGCAGACGCGGAATAGTGACCGAACGTGGGTCAAACCCTTCTTCGAGGTAGTCCTCCATGTCGGCCATGGCGGCAGTCGAGACCAAGGAAGAGCGCGATAAGCGAAAAGAATTTTAGAGCATAAACGAGGATGACAATGCGGGATGGTGTTCAGGCCGCAGGAATGAGACCGTCTATGCCTTGAGCTAGAGCTTCGTGTAGACAGGAGGAGAACAACAAAGAAGGGCCACGCAACACTCCTAATCTCCCACGATGGCTTTCTGTAACGATGAAGACAGGAGGAGATTGATCGGGTTTCGTCTTCACAAGAACAAACTGCAAAAAGCAGCAAATTTTAGTCGCAGTGGGGGGGGATGAATCGTGTGAAAAAGGCTTGTCTCTGGGTTGACAGGCGAATTGTTGATGACGGGCGCGGGTGAGACCCTTGACGCAATGATAAATTTGAGTAGCGTGGTTGTCTGTGGCAACTCAAATCAGGCTCGTGGTACAGAGGCAATCCCCTGTCACTTGACCCGCTGGATCTTCCACCCATGCTCCATAAGCCATGTAAGTTGCCTGGTGTAGCACCGCCGCAGATGCTGTAAGCCACATCTTGCGCCACTTTTGTCCCGCGATCAACCTATCGAACGATTGAGGGACGATTAGTCGAAGATTTGTTGTAGCTGCAAGTCATACTTTGGAAAAGGGTTTGTGCTTGGCTCTTCGAGTCTAGGGGATCAATTGATATCAAATACCAATGCTGGCACGAAAATCTGTGCTGGGAAAGCCCGCCTTCGTCTGTCGGAGCTGTGTACGACAATATCAGTATCAGCTGCGCCGGGCTTCCACTTCGGCACAGGACAATATCTATGATGTTGTATGTGTTGGCGGTGGGCCAGCCGGCTTGAGCTTACTGACAGCTCTTCGTGAGTTTTTCTCGTCCGCTCAATCAGCAAGTAACTAACAAACAGTAGGGGCTAATCCTTTGACGGCCGGTCTCCGAGTTGCCCTCATCGAAGCCCAGGACCTTTCCAAAACCAAGTCGTTCTCACTCCCTTTGACCCAATTCTCCAACCGATGCAGTTCTCTTACCCCTGCATCGGCTCAATACCTCGACAAAATCGGCGCATGGCGACATTTACAGCGTGAACGTGTGCAGGACTACCAGGAGATGCAAGTTTGGGATGGAGTGACAGGTGCCCGTATAGAGTTCGACTGGCCACCCAGTACGACCGGGGACAAGACAATTGCCTACATGGCTGAAAATCTGAATTTAACATCTGGCCTGCTCAAGAGATTGCAAGAGCTCGGCGGAGTGGACGTCTTTGACAAAACGAAAGTGGAGGGTATTGAACTGGGCAAGGAGACCGAAGAATTGGATTTGAGCGAATGGCCAGTCGTGCAGCTCTCGAGTGGCCAATCGCTGGCAGCACGACTCCTTGTAGGCGCAGATGGGGCAAACAGTCCAGTACGCACATTCGCCGGTATCAACAGCCGCGGATGGGACTATGGTAGACACGGCCTTGTCGCAACGCTCGAGCTCGAAGGCGAGGGCTGGGGCGGCCAGTTCAACAAGATTGCGTACCAGCGATTCTTGCCTACGGGCCCTGTTGCAATGCTCCCTATGCCTGGCAAATACGCTACGTTGGTCTGGTCTACTACACCTGAGAAGGCCGCCTTGCTCAAGAGTCTGAGCCCCAAGGACTTCATCGCTATGGTCAACGCCGCCTTCCGTTTGAGCCCCGTCGACATTGGATTCATGCACTCACAGGAGAATAACCAAGCAGAGGAGCTATCTTGGCGCTTGCAGCACACTCATGTTGATGCGGAGTCTCTTCCACAGACTGTTGCTGGAGTTCAGGAGGGGAGCGTCGCATCTTTCCCTCTGAAGCTGCGCCATGCCGATACCTACACCGGCGAACGCGTCGCACTTGTCGGTGATGCGGCGCATACTATTCACCCCTTAGCTGGTCAAGGCTTGAATCAGGGTCAAGGGGATGCCCAGAGCCTAGCCAAAACCATTGAGTATGCTGTCTCTCATGGTCAGGACCTCGGCACTCAGCTGTCTCTCGAGCCTTATAACAGCGAGCGCTATGCTGCCAATCATGTCATTCTGAACGTTTGCGATAAGCTTCATAAACTCTACTCTGTCGAGAGTGGTCCTCTTGTGCCGCTTCGTTCGGTTGGTCTTCGGGCTGTCAATACTCTCGGCCCCCTAAAGAATTTCTTCATGGAGCAGGCTTCTGGGACTGGTACTAAGCTTTTGTAGACTTCGGCAGACAAACCTCCAACTCTCAGGGCATATACTTTTGTCTGTAACACTAGAACTGTACATATCACACCCAAGAATAATGGAAATAAGATGATTCATTGCTATTTCAGAACACGCATCACCTCTACATAGCTTCTCGCTCGAGCACACGATGTTTGTGGGAGTATTTACCGTGGTCTCCCTATCAGCTATGATTACAAACAAAAGAAACCCATTCTAACCTTCTTTCTTTTCGAAAATGCTTTACCTATCGACCTCACCTACGATTGTATTAGCATTGTTTCTCAGTATACTAAAGTAAGCAAACTTACCGAACACCAGATCCATAGTACCAATAACCGCTACAGCATCAGCCAGCAAGTGACCCTTGGAGACGTGATCGAAGCCACCCAAGTGGGCAAAACCAGGAGCGCGAATGTGGCAGCGGTATGGTCGCTCGCTACCATCAGAAACGACGTACACACCCATCTCACCCTTAGGGGCCTCGATGGCAGAGTAGGTCTCACCAGGAGGAACAGCATAGCCCTTGGTGTAGAGCAAGAAGTGGTGGATAAGAGCCTCCATGTTCTCCTTCATGGCGGATCGAGGAGGAGGAGAGACCTTGTAGTCCTCAACACGGACGGGACCTGCGGGCATCTTGTTGAGGCACTGGTGGATAATGCGGAGAGACTGTCTGAACTCCTCCATTCGGCAGAGGTATCGGTCGTAGCAGTCACCGTTAGTTCCAACGGGAACGTCGAACTCAACCTGGTCGTAGGCATCATAGGGCTGGTTCTTTCGGACATCGAAAGGAACACCAGAACCTCGAAGCATCACACCAGTGAAGGAAAGGTTCAGGGCCTCAGTGGCGGGAACAACACCAACACCCCTCAATCGCTCAATCCAGATACGGTTATCAGTCAACATCTCCTCGGTCTCGTCGATTCGGTCGCCAAATTGGGTAGCCCACTGGTAAATATCGTCGAGGAGGCCAACAGGGATATCCTGATGAACACCGCCGGGTCGAACGTAGGCGGCGTGGAGACGGGCGCCGGAAACACGCTCGTAGAATTCCTGGAACATGTCAATTGCTGATTTTCTTCAACTCCCCATGGTCCACCTACCATGAGCTTCTCACGCTCCTCGAAACCCCACAGGAAAGGCGTCAAAGCACCAACATCCATAGCGTGTGAGAGAACAGACATCAGATGGTTAAGAATACGGGTGATCTCGCCAAACAGAGTTCGGATAAACTTGGCTCGCTCAGGGATTTCGACGTTGAGAAGCTTCTCAACAGCAAGAGAGAAGCATTGCTCATTGGTCATCATAGAGACGTAATCAAGTCGATCAAAGTAAGGCAGAGCCTGGAGATATGTCTTGTACTCGATCAACTTCTCAGTACCTCGGTGCAGCAGACCGACGTGGGGGTCGGCTCGAACGATCTCTTCACCATTGAGCTCGAGAATCAAACGCAACACGCCGTGGGCAGCGGGATGCTGAGGACCAAAGTTGACGGTATAGTGTCGAACCTTTCGGTCCTGGACGGAGTTCTCGCGCGACTTTCGGGTACCGGCTTTTCGGGGCTTGGAGAGGCCGTAGGCATCTTGAGCGGATGAGAAGTCCTCGTCAACTGGGACGAGTCTGGTGCCGACGGGCTCGGCGGCGGCGGCGTACTTTCGCAGGCAGGTCGTCGAGAAAGGGCGGGCAGCGAATGTTGCTGGCCGCATGCACAGGCTCTTGGCGCCTCGGCTGGCAAGTCGGAGGGAAGCCATTGTGTGAAGAGCAGAGAGGGAACGGCCGTTAGTGAGACGAGATGTGTAGAGTCTCCCGAGAGGGCCTCTGGCTCGAGGTCAATGGCAGGTTGATGGAGGGGAATTCGCCTTCGTGATAGTGGCCGTCATCTCCCGCGGTCCGGGGATCTGTGTCGAAACCTGGGAGCTTTGCTCTTGGTGGTGGGCCGGACTATTATTCTTGCGAAGAACTGACCAATCAAGAATCAACCATTACTCGTTGATTTTTCCACTCCGTGAGCACCATCTGTCGCCAATTGCATCACATCACTCAGTCGAGTTACTGTAACTGAGAAGAGTCATTCTACAAACTTGTACAGGGTTCTATCTTGTATGGTTCAAGGCGTTTCAAAATTATGTATTGAGATTTTGTATTCTTCTTGTGAAAAACAACTTTCACGTTTTGAACAATCGGAGCTTATCACTACAGCTTCCTGCTAAGAATCAAAGCCGTCATCTATTCCTTAGGGCCAAGACAAGGAATTCTTGATTCGCCCCAGCTAACAATTCAGATCTGGATAAGTGAGAATAGTGACTAAGGCAGGGCACTTTCTATCTATGAGTTAATCTTGACTAGACTGTGTAAACTTGTTGATACATCCAGCAAGATGTGCTTAATAGCAAGGCGTTCATTGTACAATCTCAGAGCTGCAAGTGAAGTTGATCTTGCAGTTCTGCATTTTTTAACATCCCCGAGATGAAATTTAGCATGTAATGTCAATTTGAACTAGCGTCCTGAATGATACGATAAACGACTCTGCATCATAAGTATAGTCTCTCCAGTGCCAGGTCTACATCTTTCTTTGCTCCTATTCAGCTACAGTTCGCTCCTCAACAGACCGAACAGAACCTCGTCTAGTATCTCTCCATTCTTGCAAACAGCACCTCTCCTGGTGCCTTCTTCAACGAGCCCAACCTTCCTTAATACATTCTGGCTTGCTTTATTGCCCCCATTTGCACACGCCTCAATCCTGTTTAACTCAGGCCATGTTTCGAAACACCATCGTATGAGCGCCTTGGCAGCTTCAGTTGCATAGCCTTTTCCCCAGGCTGTTTCAGCCAACCAGTAGCCCATCTCCCACGTGCGGAAATAGACGTCGTTCTTGGCCGTCATGCCTATAGTGCCTATAAAGACCGGTTCCGACGAAGGGTTCTCTGGTGTGTTGGCCTTGACAAAGATGCCGCAGTGTTGGCCAGCGCCGTCAAAATTGTTGGCTACGTTGTTGATAAAAGACAGTGCCGCGGCCAGTGTGTAAGGGGATGGGAAACCATCGCGCAGGTTTTTGGAGATAGACTCGTTGTCAGCTGCTTGAGACATGACTTCTGCGTCGGACGGATAGAATCGACGGAGGATGAGTCGTTGTGTCTCGAGTATTTTTGCTCCCGGCTCCTCGCATGTCGAGGAAACTGCTGTTAACTTTCTTGTGCTGGCCATGGTGGATGCTCCTCCCAGTCGATAGCAAGTTTGTATTGAACAAGTGGTGTTCTCCAAGGCGCAAGTGTTTGTGACGTTTCAAACAAGAGCAGCAAGTCAGAAATAGTGTAACTTGGGCTTATTTCATCAGTCCGGAAAGTGAGAAGTTTCTAGCTTATGAGTTGGTATTTAAAACCAAATGTACCTGCCGATATGACCACTTCAGTGACTCACGACGACGATGCCTCAAAAAGGGGACTATTGTTATCTTACTCGCCGATTTACAAAGGTCCCTCCCTACACACGGCTAGTGTCTTACAGGCAGCTGCATTAGATGCCGCCAGCAAGTCGAGGTTACGACAAGTCCACAAATAGAACTATTAGTACAGAGTACTACCTAGGTAATCGAACGATAGCAAGACCCTGGATTAGTATCGTGCTCTGTACCTAGGAGAGGAAAGAAAACTCAGGACTTCGATCCTAGATGACACAAAGACTTAAGTGACTCAGTATAACTTTAGGTGAAGTTTAGCATATATTTACTGAGTTTATTCTGACACCTCTTATTAAGGTCTGCTGTTTTCTTGCTCACTAAGACCTACCTACTTATCTCCACCGGGCGAGAGATAACACGGATCCGTAATCTAGCACAAATTCAACAAGTTGTTGACTTTTTTTATATATAATGACAATAGTAAATTGCATCTGTCGCTATCGCAGCTTATTCTATGACGCGGCCCGCTGTGCAAAGTAATCCAGTAGTGAGTTATGAATGAGTAAAGTTGAATGGAAGAGGACCATCTCACGGCTCTTTCTTGTTTCCCAACGACAACTACATATTAATTGGTATAAGTAGGTTGTCAGCACCTGCTGGTTGATATAATGAGTAATATTTAATTATTGTAACCATTATTATATGCTAAGCGCCATAACTTCTCCTAGACGAACAAGACAATGACCCATTCCGACGAGATCCCAGTCATACACACCAAAAAGGGCCTTCGTATAGCCGCTTTTCAATCAAGCTGAACCTTATTATGCCCTCGCCGCGTCAAGTTGAATGCCTTGTATCGAATGTCAAACCGGGCAAAACAGAGCATGCCGCTATGGAAGATCCACGCTAGCGTTCTGGTATCCTTTGTTTCCAGTATGATCCACTCCGTGAGGTCTCTACCGTTCCCTTGATGCCGAAGTCTACATCTCTTCTCCCTCACTGCCGAGCCGCAGGAGCATTAAGGTATACATTTAGACCATAGGGGCCATTGTTTTTTTTTCTTGCAAACGCCGCGACCAAGATCGAATGATGTAGGCCGTTATGAACAAAGGGGGAATAAAGAAAAAAGACAATGCCTCACTATCCCCGTGGGGGAGAAAACGCCGCAAAACAAACCAAAACGAACAATAATAAACTTTTAATGAACCCCTCGCCATGCCCCATAAGATGCAACGAACGACATCCCGCTTTGTAGTGATGAACAGTGCTTTTGTTAGGAAATGTGACGAATGACCAAAAGGTCATATTGTGTTACTGACAAAGGAAATTATGGCTATGGCCGAATTGTAAAGGATAGAAGTTGGAACCAATCCCGAAAACACCAACAAAATCATATCAAGATCTTCGAGCAATATTGACACCTGGATTGACGAAAGCTCTGTATGCAATGTCGCATAGACGTCGCACGACGTTGGTAGTTCCACCTGTGACCTGAGATTCATCGTAAATGAACTTGGATGCAACTGAGAGTTTGTTCTTGGGGTCACTCTCGTCGGCATGTTGAGGAGCAGCGTTGCCGTAGGGAGAATCAAAGTGGGGAGCAAGTTCTCGAACAACTGCAATCGAGTAGAGAACATCGCGGTTCTCGCGACCATCAAGTAGATACCGCATCCTTGAAAGCATTTCCTCCCTAGACTTGGCGGCAGCTGGACCATTGGGATCCTCCCGCGTACGCACGAACTCAGCCAGGCTGTACCAGAAATCAAATTGTCGGGTTCGGTAACTGTCAGGGTCTTGCATTGGTGGGCAGAGTGGGTTGACTGATAGATAGTCTCCACACAAAAGTGCCTCAACAACTCGGACACGGTTTTGGGTCTCCTTCGCATCACCATCGTGCGGCAGCGTTGTGGTACTGATAGCAGAAGCTGCAGTGGGAGGGTCGTATGCTGCTCGCGCTAGCTCCCACACAAGGCGTGTCTCAAGAATACCAGAGTAGGCCATCTGGGTTTGATCGTTGACCTTTACAGCCTCCAAGGCCTTGAGAAAAGATGCCATTAATTCGACGAGACGCTGGCTTTGAGGAAACGAAGGTGATCCATTTTCTGTAAAGTGGTACCACCCGGATTCGAAGAAAGAGGCAAGCCCAGGTGCGTACATTTCATGATACACCTTGATGATTTCATTGCGAGTCCCCTCAGTGTGGACAACGTTCTGGGACGGAGGAACTGTGCCCAGGAGATTGATAATTTCATCAATCTTCATTTTGTTGGCTGTCAGAAACGTGCGTAAGCAGATGTTCTCAACAGCAGCGCAGCAAACGACGAACAAGGGTGAAATCAATAGTAGGGGGCGCCACCTCTAAGATGTTGGTTGTTGTCAGCAAGAGGCCTTTGTTCAACCGCTCTAGAGCTTTCCGCGTTTGAGGTTGATGAGAATCCTTGAAGGGCTGGGTCGATTGCGGGCGGATACTCGTATGTCGACTCGGGTTTGACAGGAGGAGATGCAACGTTGGAAAAACTCGAGTCGTAGCTAAGCGAGGTGATAGACGGGTTAGGGCTTGCTGTTGTCGCGTGAGCTGTTGCATACGAGCTTGGGAGCATAGATGGTTGGCTGCCGTATGAGTTCGTAGGTCGAGCCGTAAGGGCAGTGTTGGGCGCTATCGATGAAGGGACAGTTGAAGGCACAGAGCTGGGAACTGTGGGAGGAGTCCTTTGGCTGGGCGCAGGCTGGATATTGGAAGATGATTGTCCGCCCGCTTGTTGTCTGAAAATGGGGTCGTAACCGAGACACTCGCGCTTCGACTTTTTACAGTTGTTGCAAGTCGGGTGTGTTTCGTCGCACTGAGAGATGTTAGAGCTGTGTTGGGCGGGGTGCTATCTCCACCAAAAAGTAGAGAGGGGGGTTTGTGCAGCTGCCTAGGTAGGAGATGCGCGGGAGCTGTGACCAATGGCAAGCTAAGCAGAGCTCCCAAAACCTCGAGGAGCTTAGACTCCAAAGCAATCCATTTACTGGAGCGCTCTAAGGCTGGGATTGGGCTATTGCCATGCAAGCATTACTTGGGAAAATCTGGGGTGATGAGTGCTACGTGAACGTGAGTCTTGCTTGTTTCTGTGACCTCCTGGCAAACGAGCAAGTGGGCAAGCTGCAAGCTGCAAGCTTGATGCAGCACAGGGTTGTTTTGGATAACCTGCTTTAAGCTCACCACCTGCGACACATATCTGAAGCCCGCCTTCTTCCCAAGTCATCTTCTTGATTCGTCGCGTTCCATCCCGTGTTTCAAGGTCACGAGCTGCACAGGGGGAGATAAGTATGAAATCATAGCTCACCTTTATACGACGCTTTCTGCAAGTCAGACAGCCTGTTTTTGTCCGACGTTTAATCTCCTACAGGTTACAGTCAGCTTCAATCTCTAAACCCTTGGCTAGCTATGGCCTGTGAGAACGAGATCCCTAAGCAAGCTTCAACACACCTTCTTCGGTCCCCTGTGACCCAGAAGCCGCGGATCATGAGGAATAGCATAACGAGCCATAGAATCGGGAAGACCGTAGCTTGCCATTGGCATGCCTTGGTGGCTATAGAATGGCACACCGCCTGACGTGGGCGCCATATGCATGTTCATTGGCATGCCCTGCGAATTCGATACCGGAGGCCCATGTGGGTTTTCGATTGTCCTCATGCTAGGTAGCGGCATACTGACGGGCATAGGACTCGGTCTGTATGGCTCCGTTGCTTGACTCGTGACTACAGGATAAGGGGCATATTGGGCGGCTGATTGGCCTGCCGAGGACGCATAAGGCATCGAGGAGCCCGGATAGCTCACATGCTGACCATGAGGTAGTCCTGGATGCTGGTTGGACATTTCCGAGCTGGGCGTGGGTGTCGAAGCAGCCTCGGGGGCCCTGCTGTCGCCGTTCTGCTGAGGAACCGCGGGCGGAGCGGCGGGAGCAGCAGGAGCCGAGGCTGGCGTGAGTGTCGGCACGGAAGAAGAGACGGCGAATGGCTCGGATTCGGAGGATGCGGCGAGTGTAGAGGTGGAAACTGGAGCGGTCGTCGAGGCGGTCGGGCGGTCCGCAGCCGTGAACGGCACTGAAGCAAGCTCGGTGATGGGTGGAAGCGTCGTCTCGGCAGCAGCAGTGTTGAGAGATCCAGCAGTCGAGTTGGAAGCTGGAGGAGCGGTGACAGATGTAACTATGGGAGCTAGAGAAGGAGACTTCGATGTCGGGGCAGAAATTGTAGGATTATTGGGAGAGTCACCGTGACTCTGCCCATGGTCTTCTTGAGCCATGTTGTTTTTTAATTAGAAATTTTTATGGAGCCTCAAAGCAAAGTCAGGAAGAAGGACAAGCGACCAGGGGGACGCGACCCTGGGTCACGGAGGAAGTCGAAGTGCTGGCGCTGGGCAAGGAAGATCAAGAGGAGCCAAAGCCAGGGCGTGGCAGGGGGAGCAAAGGCGTGCAAGAGGGGCAGAACCCAGGACCAGGGGTCGCGACACGATGCGACGGCGATGCAACTGCCACTGAGAGCAAAGCAATAGTCGCGATGATGGACGGGGCCAAGACCATCGACAGGTGACGCGCTGGAGGAGGAGGAGCAGCAGCAGCAGCGACAAGAGCACAGCGAAGAGGAAGATCGCAAGACCCAGGGGTCCAAGAGGCGGGATCGGAAGCGAGGCTCAGAGGCTGAGCTCCAAGATCGGGGGCAAACGGGAAATAGAGTTGGCACGTCCTGTCCCTTCGTCGTCGTCGTCAAGCATCGAAGATACTATGTGTACTGTACTGTACAATACTATACAACAGAATAACTGGATCGCCCCCTGCCCGGTTGCCGCGTGGTAGTGGTAGTGGTGGGAGTGGTGACCGTGGTGGTGGTGTTGGTGTTGGTGTTGGCCGCCGGGTCCCAGTAAATTGAAAAGTTCTAGTGGAGACGGGCCGGGCTTTGTAGGCCGATGCCCATACGGGATGATCGATACTCGACAAACAAGCGCCGCGCGAACTTGGTCCAGTGAGCGACCTCTTTTACTCTGCTTGTAGAACTTATGCAATAGACGGACGGGTATGTAAACGAAATGGAGGCGAGGTATTTGACCAGCAGAAGAGTTGGCGGAGGCAGATACAAAGGAGAGGAGCCTCGCTTATTGAAAAGGCTGTTTGATGAGGCCCTCAAGGTCGGATACGAACAAACAAACAGTCGGCCTTCAATGTTTGGAAAATTGGGGTTGATGCTGTATCATTCCCATTTCAGTTCCTAGCATAACGCATCAATCGAGCAATCAGCTGAATCGGAAGAATAGTAGCTCCAGCTAGAGCCTCTTTCGAGTTGGAAGCAGGTGCATTAGCGGCGCATCGCCCGTCGAACGACAGATCTAGGCCAATCTCAAGCTTCAGGTCTTCAAAGCTTTACCTTGTAGGTATAAACTTCACACAGACATGGTTACTCCATAATCTCAATCTCATGGATACAGAAATATCACATACATATGCTCATCATCTCAAGTCGGCTACTACCTGCTAACGAGAATTTCTTTTTCGCGTTTCTCCTTTACTCGCTTGAGTAGACCCCTAGCATCCAGCAATTCTGGAAGCACTATAGAAGCTGTTACCGTGTTCAAACTCTGTGGAATACCTGACCCTGTTAATGAGGCGCAATACCGGACAAGGTATCCGTATAGCATGGATGATTGGGTTAGCTTGGCAGAGATTCGGTGAGGATTAGTCGACTGTATTTATACTCATATGTAATTACTCCGTATTGTTATGCAAGACATTTCGATCAGACTGGTCAGCATATAACTGGGCACCTGATGAGAGGGATAGGGCCTGTCTGTTACGAGCAGCCATGATCCTGTCTTCTCTACGGACCGCCATGTATCTTCTATTTAGCAGAGGATCAATTCAAATGCAAACATCGATTAGAGTTCAAGGCTTCATCTGCACAGGCGCATGCAAGAGTTATGTCCGTGTACCGTACTCTGCATGTGGTGTGGCCCGGGCAATCCTGGCTTGAGCTCGATACAAGGCGGCAACTGGCTTGATTGTGTGCCACTCATGGCCTATCGGGTGCAAGGTTCTCGTCCCGTCGTAGACTCCAAGCTTAATACACCCCTATTCTGTGTGATGAGCATGAGTTCAAGTTGAAAAGTTCCGACTGAGATTGACGCTTGGGCTAGACCTGGATAGTCAATCTTCAGTGTAGGTCATCTGGGGCCATACTAGCTGTCGTTATCCATTTGTTGTCTCTTCTCTCCTTGTATAGATAGGCAGCCAACCACTGCACTGATCTGCGTATCCGTATCTCATCCATCCCTCAATCGATGGAAGGCAGAGAGCTTCTCCAAAAATGTCAAAGTCAAATCCCCGCAAGCCACTGACCCCACAACACGTCCCTAAAGAGACTTGACTTTCCTTCCAAGTCATTCTATAGGAGCCACTAATGTCAGGTACCAACCAGACGGTGCTCGCTGGCTCGAACCCAATCAGCAAGTGGAAGGAGCCAAAGCTAACTGCCGTCCCTCCCTTCCCTCTCTAGGTACCTACCTACATTTCCCTTCTTTGTTTCCATTCGTTCGTTGTTCTTTGGGCTGAGTCATACAACGTTAGGCAGTCTATCCACTCCGTGGTTCGAATTTAGATTTGCGCTTGAATTCTGAGTATATCAAACTTCAAACCTAGCTACTCCGACCGACTCCGTACTCTGCAAGATTGCCTTTCGTCACAATCGTCATTTTTACCTACAAAAAGTATCCTTTATTTCCTTTCGCGGTCGTTTCTCACAAATAGGTACCCGCCGGGCTAGGTCACGGTGAATTGCAAATCTTGCCGTTGTCCGCACTCCCCAATCTTAAGATATCCAATATCATCTCCCCCCTCTTCCAATTTCAGCAAATCGAAACCCCTGCTCTCTGTGTCACTTCGTCTTGTTCCATCTCCAGGAGATAGTTACCAAACTGGGAGCCAGAAGCCTCAAAACAGGTCCCGTTCATGCATGCACCATAACACAACAAGACGAGTAAGTCTCTTCAACCGTCAGTTTGTTCGGCCATGTTTTAGCTTTCTGGCCGTACCCGTACACGATATAGATGCCTACGTCCAACGGCAAGGTCCCGACGTAAGCGAGACGAGCCTCTCCACAGCTTCAAGCCATGGTTCGCTAATGAACCATCCACCCACATGGATCCCACCCAAGTGCAGCGGATCCTCCTCAGACCTGGTCTATTCCTGCACTGTGCTCTACCTATAGGTACAAAGTCGCAACGGCAATGGCAATCATCCACCAACCCACCCTCCCTCCTCTCTGTAGAGGCAAACATCCCGGCTGACAGACGGCGACGGGAAGCAAGCGAGCGAAGGCCGTCAAGCAAGGGGGGCGTTGAGGGAGGGTGTCTGGCCAACCGGCTTTTCTTTCCTGCGCATCTCACTATCTCGCCTTACTGGTCGCCTGCCTGCTCCCTCTCTCGCCTACCATTAGTTCCCGGATTCCTGGAACGCTGACCTTAAACTTGACCACTGCTTGCTGGCTCAGGCCTTAGCCCCTCCCTCCCTACCTCCATGTGCAGAGGAGCTGTAGCGGTATCCACGGTCCAGTTTTTTCTCTCCACAACGGTTGTCAATACAATAGCGGTCGGCTCTTGGGTCGCTAGTCCTCGGAGGCGTTCCAATGAGGCTTCTCCTGCTTTCTTCCTTACTCCGTTCACTGAGTGGAACAGATATTTGAGGCTAAAGGGGGCATCCAATGTGCATATGATACATGATATAGTACATGATATGATACATATTCGGCCGGGGAAAAGCCCCGAGCAATAGCATGGTACTGCCAGACAACTCACGCCAATGACGAGTCCTCAGAAGCAGTTCGAATTTGAACAGCAAAGCAGGATCTGAGGCTGAGCCAACACGAGCTCGTTTTCTCTTACTCGTTGGCAGAGGATGATGTCTCCTCATTTATCTGCAGCCTTTGAGCAATGGCTTCACCTCGGGCCAGTTTACGCCCGATGCCTTGCCTGTAGCGCCGTCCGCCCCTAGTAGTAGCCAAGGACTCGTGTGACATCTTTCAATCTCCATCTCATATGTCCATGCCAAGCAGCGTCGTCCACTCTGTTCACATCGCTTCTGACAAGCATTGGCACTCCTCACATCGCCCCATGAGCGGGTGTGCTCGTCCGGCTTGCCCACATGATCCGCTGTTAGCTCTGTTGGGCGGCTCTCAAGCGCCGACATAGCTGAGCCTCCAAACAACTGCCAAACGTCGTGCCATAGCACTGGCTTGTCTATTTTTGCGAGTGTCTCCCCAACACGGCGCATCTCGCCGGGTTTCCGCAAGCCGTGGAAGGAAAGTAGGGGCGAGCAGAAACGATCACCCCAGATGCGCGTGATGGAAGGAGGTTCGCCATTGAAGTGATGATTATACGACTCTTCAATGTATATGCCTAGCTTCTGGAGTGTCGTCGCCACCAGTCGATCTCCCCACGTTTCGGTCATGGATTCGGCGTATGCTTCTTGTACGATTCCCGGGTGTTCGAACAAACGGCGCATCGCCTCTCCGGATATCAGGATTCCAGATCCTCCGTGCCCAAAACGCGCCTTGTAATCACCTACTGCGTTACCAATATACTGAGGCTTGCGGTAGTCAACGTGACCCATGAGTAGCTCCAGAGAAGGTCGTATTAAGAAAGTGTCGTCATCTAGGATGATGTACCACTTTTTGCCTGGCAACTGATGATATATCATCTCCATGCCCATGATAAACTGCCTCTGTTAGCGGTGTGGGGAGAAGTTGTTGGAGAGACAAACTTTTAGCGCATCAAGCTCCCAGCCATAACTTTGCCCAATCTTCAGCGCTTCTTCTTCGTCTCCTGCTTGGAGCTTTGCCTGGAGACTTGTGTACTTTACCAGCCTGGGGTAATCATCCACCTTGCCTCTGATCTTGGTCTCCATAACTCTCTTGATAGCATCGTGCACCGTCACGCCTATCAGCTTTGCATCTGTCTGATTCACTGTCTTCCAATCTCCTACAACAAGGAAGCTCTCGCCTTCTTTTCCTAAGAACCCCCCTGTTGCCTCAAAGGCAGCGAGCTGGTCAGGCACTCGGTGACGCGTTCCATACCCAGTTTTGATGAGGTAGCCCACTTCATTCTTGAGATCTACGGCATACCGTGGCGATTTCCACAACCAAGCGTCTCGGTTTGTTGCTGCGCCACGCAGAAAATTAAAGAAGCGCGAGATGTTGAAGACAAAAGCCAGGCGGATGGCTGAATCGTGAGGAAGGATAGAATAAATGATGAAGGTAGAG